AGCAGATAACCTGGTCCTGTGCCATATATGCTTTAAAGGTAATGACCATCACCTTGAATTGCAGTCAGAAAGAAATTGAAAATCAGTGCAGCTTGCCGACAAAGATATTACATGGGCAAACCTAGAGCCCCCCTTTACTGTGTGTTCTGGGCCAGTTGAAGTTTCTGGATGGGTTTCAAGGGTAGCTCAATGTAGAATGTGTTGCACTAATCCAAATGGGAAGTGACCAAGGCATGAGTGACCATGAGCAAGGCCTCCCGATCAAGGAAATTATTATTTTATTTATTTGTACGATTTATAGGCCGGCCAATCCCGGAGGACTCCGGGCGGTTTACAACCAAGGGGAAAAAAAGAAATAATAAAATGAAAATAAAAACAAGTTAAAATCAACACACATACATTCATTATGATCGGGGCTGGACCTCAACAATGAGGTCAACAGCCCCAGGCCTGCCNATAATAATAATAATAATTGACTGTGGCAAAAGATAATAGAACTACTATGACAAAAAAAGCAAAGATAGTACTAATAATAATAGGTGGCTTCATACAATTCCTAAATATCTTCATGAGTTACTAAAACAATTGGCACTGATAAACTCACCATCAGTCTAATTGCAAAAGGTATCTTTACTTGGAATAGCTTATACCCCGTAACAATTATATTAATATTATTAAGCAACATCCGCCTATCCCAGGCCCTTAAGAAGGACTTAATTGGCAGATAAAAATGCCAAGGCCAATTTAAATATCTGGCTGGCTGTGTGATCAACCATAATTTTTAATTTGGTGAAATGGTTTTGCATTGTTTCCTAACAGGAAACAATATTTCTATATTATGTTTTAATATTTTAGTAAATATACTAAAAGTCATGCTGGCTAATTTTGGGGAAATCAGCTGAAAGTATTAATCAAGGTAGAGTATTATCCTATCTACTTTCACAATTCTGGGGTTAAAAATAAGTGAGCAGTATCAATTTCCTATGACCTGAACATTTCAAATATTTGTAGTTTTATTTCAAATGCAGGTAAGTCGAAATATTGTATCTGTGTATTTAAAGGGGGCTTGTTTTGTTCCGTCTTTGAAACAAATACTTGTCTTTTATGCATGCCCCTACATTATAATCAGCCTGTTCCTTCTCTACCTAAAAGATGATTTGCTAGTATGCTTAGAAGCAAACCATATCTTTGCATAGATACTGAATGAATATTTTGACATGAAAATCAATACAATACAATGTAATACAATACAATACAATAGCAGAGTTGGAAGGGACCTTGGAAGTCTTCTAGTTCAACCCACTGCCTAGGCAGGAAACCTATATCAGTTTGACTCCCGCTTCTTTGTGGCTACCCTGAGATATTGGAACACTGCTATCATGTCTTCCCTAATCCTTCTTTTCATTAAACTAGACATACCCAGTTCCTGCAACCGTTCTTCATATGTTTTAATGCAATATGTTTTAAAGCAATAGTGACCTGATTGATTTATGGAAAAAAAAGTTAACTGGAGGCATAAACAGAGTAGCTCCTCTCCTTTGGTTGCTGTCTTTTATGTATTCCAATTGTTTCCAACACTTACTGGTCATTATACACAGGGTGTGTATACTCAATTATTCCACACAGAATTAACAATTAAAAGCAATAATTAGTTACATGGAGCTGAAGCTAAGTAAGACAATGCAACATTTTAAAACGTGGTGTATATTAAGCTTATAATATACCAAATTAAATTGCACTAAAAGCTGTTAAATTACTTTAAAATGTACAGAAAAGATACAGAGTTTATTAAAGGATCTGAATACATAAATAGGGATGGTCAAGAATGGAAAAGGTATGAAAGGAGAATCTGGATAAGTCATGTTATAAATGGAAGGACTATCTTAGCCTGACCTTGGAAAATTTCTTTACTACTGATTTGGGCGCACGATGCTTCTGTGCATGCACAGAAGCATCTGGGCAGGTGGGCAGAGCTTCCCACCGCTACTACCGGTTTGGCCAATCCAGGCCGAACTGGCAGCAACCTATCTCTGGATCTGCACCATAAGCCACAAAGGCCTTTATATGTCAAAACATTCATTCATTATATGTCAAAACATATATTGTTTGGTCATGGTTGGCTTACTGTGCAGAAAGTCAGGCATGACCAAACAATGTTTGTTTACTGCTATACTACGTTCCTATGCAATATCCATTCAATAGTATTAAAATTAAAACAAAATGCATCATAGTATCACAAAAGATTACAATGAATTAAGTAATTGGCAGAAAATATAAACATGTCAAAAGTGAGTTGAAAAGAGGAAAAATTATCCATGAAATTCATAGGAAGAAGGACTGGATGGACATATTAGTCTTCAGTGTGGACCTAAAAGATCTAATTGGAAATGACTCCAATATTAAGGGAGGTAGAGACAAATTCAGAAAGGATTCTTCAAGTACAAGCAGAAAGTTTCTATTAATGACTGTGTTTCTCCATTCTATGACTTAAAATAGGTACAGCAGGATGATTAGCTCCTAGTAATTTCCTTGAAACACTTAAGAATCTACTTGATGCCATAAGGCACTGAGAATTGATAATTTTAGTGGATCTTCTTCACTTGCAGGAAGGGATATATGACTTGAGAGAAGTTTAAAATGTAGGATAATATAACCATAGGGCCCATTTCTAATTAAACGCCTTAGTGGTTAATAGTCTTTAATTTCCTGGTTTCTTTTCAGAGGCATCAATCATGCAATACATTGTAGCAATTAAAGGGCACAAAGTCAATTGGACGCAGACCAAAATCGGGTAGGTGTTCAAAACTCTACCTACATGGACTTTTGTAATCTAATATCCAGAGCAATATGAAGCCCTTCAAAGCTTTATGTGTGGACCCCAAAGCTGTTATGGAAATTGCTGGTAAATTATAATACAATGAGACATAAATGGAATTTTTAAAAATATATGGGAGTATATAACTAAATTTGAATTTAAAGTTAATAACCTTTGCTTTCAATTTTCCCCATGAACCTCTTCTCCCAATTTTTGGAATATAGCCTTCAGAGGCCCCATGTGAAGATAGTGCAGTAATGTAGATTTTGTTCCTCTTCAACAACACCATTCCATCTGCTCAGTGTCATCCAGAGGCGCTTTCCCAGGTGGCTAGCCGATTAATGAATTCTAGCTGTATCAGACTGTCCACTCAAAGTTAAAACCGCTAAGATTCTGCTAGGTATACAAAAAATTTCCAACATAAACTGTAATTAATATAGAGTACAAGCCAGAAGGGTAGTTACTGGGAGGTTTTTGTACATGTTTTGATATATTTCAGTTTGTTTATCTCCAATATCGACAAGTATTGTGTTGATGCATGTGCTTTAGCTTTGTTTGCATCACAGTAGATGTAAAGAAAATTCTGGGTACAAATACAAAAACATTGCTTTCAGCAGAGAAATTATGCTAGTTCTATTATATAAGTTCCCTCCTAATGAAGCAATTACCATCCTACTTAACAGTAGTTGCAAAAAAAAATCATAATCCTTGTTCCTTCCTTAATACAACAATAATCCCTTCAGCCCCTTATTCTACTTTCTTTTTCAATAATCAAATTCAAAAATCTCAATTTCAGTTTTTTTTCCATTTTCAGTTCATAGAAGATTTTGAGGCCCACGGAAACTGTGACTGTTGTGTATTTTAAAGTGTTGTTTTGTGTATTTATCCCCTTCCCTTGTTTATTGTAAGCCGCCCGGAGTCCTTCGGGAGTGGGCAGCATACAAGACCAATAAACATAAACTCTTATAAAAGTACATATTGCTTTGTTCCCTGACCAGCTAGTTCTACCATCTTCACAATCCATTCTTCCATTGTAGAAATTTCAGTATGTCTCCCCCTTTGTGCAAATAATAATCTTGCTGCAGTTATCATATAAAATCAGTCTTCTTTAGACTTTTTAATTGACTATCCATTAGTCCCAATAAAAAAGAGTTCTGGTTTCATCTTTATATTACTATTCAAAAGTCTTTGTATCATATGTATACTGGTATGTCAGTTAAGCCACACCTCGATAGAAAAGGAATTTGAAAAAAAGAGTCTAGAATTTTGTTACTCTATATGTTTATTGAAGCAAAAAAATATTTATGCCCCAAAATGGTAAAATATAATAATCCCATAATGGAGGAATCTATAGAAAAACTGAGATGGTCAAAATAACTGTTTTAATTAAAGAAAAGGTGCTTTTTGACCTGACTCCATACTTCTCTTTCCCCCCTTTTCTTCTTCCATTTTCTTATTATCTTTATTTTCCTTTGTATTTTCTATTATGATAATTTCAATAAAATTATATTGGTTATACACCTTGAACAGAAAGCTGTATTCACAATTACTGTGGCTTTAGTTATTCAGTTGCATTACTGCAATGCATTCTTCATAGAGCTATCCTTGAAATAAGTTTTACTTAGTGTCTGAAAAATATACACAGAATTACACTATCAATACATTCAATTATGCCAGCTGTTACTTGTATTTTCACAAAATAAGTTCATACATTCAGGTCTCAGTTATGTTACAACTGATATGAAATAGAAAAAAAGCATGCTTGTTTATAAAAGCTATAAAACTCAGCCATCAGAATGTTAAACATTTATCCATTTTAAAATGCTAACATTAAATACCCTTACAAAAGATTGACTACCAATGTATTTTCCTTGGTTTTTCATTGACTAACGAATGAAAATAAGAACCAGCAGTGACAAGGAAATAAACATAGTTCGATGGTCAATGTTAAAAATAATCTTCAGCCATCCCCTCAAGTGAAGGAAATTCCTACCACACCTCAAACCAAAAATTAGAGAAAGAGAGTTAAGCCACATAATTTCACCAGAGTAAAATTACACCCTTACTTGTATAATCTATTCTGTTCAACAAGGAATGCTTCATTCTGCAGAACCTTTTGCAGCAAATTATACTTCGTAAAATGCTTATATCTACAAGATAACACTTTTACCTTGAGGGCATCAGCATCTAGAATTCCTGGTATATTCTTTGGCAGTAAAATACCAAATTATCTTCAGGTAGGAAATTATTTGTTTTTAAAACTTCTAATAATTCTGTGGTAATGTGCCTTTGATTACTACATTTCAAAAATGATGTTATTTTTAATAACATAACTTTTAAAAAGACATACCTTATAATAAACATATAATGTGCCTAATTTATGCATGAATTAAGAACAATGTATGGAAACTTCTTAAGATAAAGGATTTAAAGATTATTTTGCACAGGTTTAGTAGAAAACATATTATTGGGCAACAATAATATGAAGAAAGAAAACAATACTGAAAATTTCCTAAGAGTTAGCTTTAATGGAATCCTATCTTCTCCTGTGCCAGCACTAATGTAGATCTGAATCTGCTGCCTATCTGCTCCATTGTAGCACTATGATGCTGCTATTTTTCCAGTTCTCTTAAGCCATTATTCCGGGAAGGCTGCCTATTCCTCAGCTGCTTCCAGAACAGACTTTGGAGAGAACAGGAATATTATTTCAGAAGGTGAAGTATACAGGAATAGAACTGCATGTGTTGATTCACTCATCCAATACAAGATTCTGCTTGAGCTATAAAGATAACTATCTATTGAAAGCTATTAGTCTATTATTTAAGAGTCAACGACTTCATTTGGTGGTTTATACTTAGATCTAATGGTTCATATTCTTAAACCAATGTTGTACTTTTCTAGTTCTTTCGCTAAAGCATTTCATTTTTTGAAAATCTGTTTGGTTCAAAAGCAGCAGATAGCAAACCGGAATGAAAAATTATTTTAGACATAGTCAAAGCTGATAGCAAGGGCATATCTAGATAATGAAAACATGAAGCATGAGGAAACTGATTGGGACACCAGAAAATGTGTGGTTGAATAGCATTTTTTAGCAGCAAATGCTGATGAAAAAAAGTATGCTTGTCCTCTTGCTTTAGATAAGCTATGATACAAATTAAACATTTAACTTTCTTAACTATGTGATTAAAATAAATTCAATAAACAAAAAAGATAGGAAGAAAAAGGAAAACAGTGCCAGGAAAAATATTTTCTATATCTCAGGAGACATGAAATACATATTATAAACCTTTATAACAGAAGGTTTAGAGAATGTTCTGATTTACACATATGAAAGAGTATACTTCATTTACCAACAATTTCATGGAACAGAATTTATTCAATAGAAGGGAATGCTTATGTGAATATATCATTATCTCAATCAAATTCCTAATTTATATTCTGCTTAGAAACGTTTGATCTTATTTTTTTTAATTTGAGCATTTGCTTGAATACAAAATAAATCTATTTACTAATCTGAATTAGGCATAAATTATTACCTGTTTAGATTATTTTTCCATGTTTCTTGTGTTGATTTATCATCTAATACTAACATTGTTAGGCAACAAACTTATACTTTATATATAAGCAAGAATTTGTGCTATTTGATATTGAAGTTAATTGCTCAATATCTTATATGCAAAATTTCAACTTATAAATCTTGATTTTGACTTGACATTTACTGAATGCAACTGTGGTATAATATTTAGTTCTTTAACTATAGTTGCTGTTTTGGCCATCATTATGCATTCTCTCTTCTCAAATTTCCTGGAATCAATTAACTAAATGTTTACTCAGTTTATGAGACCAACAAGTAATAATATTTTTACTGTGGCAGTTATGCTGCAGTACAGTACTTCCTTTCAATTTATTTTATAGGATAATAATAATTTATTTTAAAGGGAAGGACAAAGAAAATATAATTTCTCTTACTTCCAAAACTAAGAAACGATAGATTTAATTAATTATATAAGTCTTGTATAAGATTTATTGCATAAGTCCTCTCATTCTTATGCTTAAATAAATTATTACTATTTTTTTTACTAAAACATACATTACTAAACAACAGCCAACAACTAAATAGTCAGCTATAAACACCCCAATCAATAATTAAAAAGCCACACAACCAGGCACAATATAAATACCACACACAGAATAGCCCAAAGCACACATTCTGCTACAAAGAAGTTTCCTAAGGAGGGGCTCCAGCTCGAGTCCAAAAGTTTGAAAGAATACACCTCTGGTCCCTATGACTGACCCAGATTGGATGCTGCAACTTCTTATGTATCCACATTCTTGGAGTTTCATTAGTTCTAGTGTTAAAGGCAAATGAGAATAAGTCCAAATTCTCTCCAATGTGACAGCCCTTCACATATCTGAAGACATTTTCCATGTCCTCTCCCAACCTTCTTTCCTGCAAGTTAATCATACCTAGATCTTTTAACTTCCCTTGGTTTCTCTTTTCACTATATTTATAACACTGTTCTGGACTTGTTTCAGTTTATTCATATCTTTTTAAAACTGGGATGTGCAGAATCAAATGCAAGTGAGGCCTGATCAAAACCAAGTAGAGCAGGATAAATTACTTTCTACTACCTGGATTCTGAAGTCCACTTGATAATCTTAAAATGCTGTTGGCCTTCTTTATAACTGCTGGAACATGTTGGGCTTGTGTTCTACTAGTACACTCAAGGTCTTCTCATATGTGCTTCTCTTGAGCCAGATTTCTCTGCTCTTATAAATGTTTCTTCTTTTTTACTTAAATTCATAATTTTACATTTCTCCTTGTTAAATTTCATTCTTTGTTTCAACTAACTGTCAGGTCTTTTTGAATCTTTTCATCTCCTCTCAGGTATTACCCACATATCCTGGTTTTGTATAGTTTGCAAATTTGCTAAGCATTTCCTTGACTTCCTCCTCCATATATATAAATAAAAATATATATAAAAATATAAAAGTGCTAAACAGCAACATGCCTAGGACAGAGCCCTATGGCATCCTACTTGAAATGTCTCTCAAGGCAGATTTGACACATTTATAAATGTTTAAGGTCCTTGAGCAGATTATGGATCCACCTATGTGTTTTTAAATCTGTGTTTTGATAATAAGGATGCTATGAGAGACTTGCCTAAAAGGCTTTCTGGAGTCAAGACTGCGCTTCCCCAATTATTTATTTTTTCACATTTCCAAACTGCCCATCTCCTTTAAAGAGCAATTAGCCAAGTTTGTAACTATCATAAAATGTTATCGTTAGTTTGGACTGACTTTTTCGGCATATATCCATGTTGGCCCCTGTTAACTAATCAATTCTTATTTAAGTGCACAGAGACACTTTTCTGTCACCTATTTACTTTCAGTTTCTTTGCTGGACTCTGGGTTTGAGCCCTTGAATTTCCTTTAGGCTTTATTTTCATTGACCAGATAAAGCTTTTTCCTAAATAAAAAGATTATCTTATATCCTATAAACAGAACAATGGAGATTCTGAATGAAAAGTTGTTATTGTTAGTTGTGAAGTTTTGTCCAACCCATCACAACCCTATGGACAACACTCCTCCAGGCCTTCTTGTCCTCTACCATCCTATGGAGTCCATTTAAGCTCATGTCTACTGCTTCGGTGACTCCATCCAGCCACCTCATTCTCTGTTGTCCTCTTTTTCTTTTGCCCTCAATCTTTCCCATCATTAGGTTCTTCTTTTCACCTTCCTTTCATTAAGTGGCCAAAGTATTTGAGTGTCATCTTCAGGATCTGGCTTTCTAAAGAGCAATCAGGATTGATCTCCTCTAGGAGTGCCTGGTTTGATCATCTTGCAGTCCAAGGGACTCACGGGAGTCTTTTCCAGCACCATAGTTCAAAGACCTCAATTCTTTGGCACTCAAGCCTTTCTTATGATCCACCTTTCACAGCCATATATTGCAACTGGGAAAACCATAGCCTTGACTATATACCGTATATACTCGAGTATAGGTCGACCCGAATATAAGCCGAGGCACCTAATTTTACCACAAAAAACTGGAAAAGTTATTGACTCGAGTATAAGCCTAGGGTGGGAAATGCAGCAGCTACCGGTAAATTTCAAAAATAAAAATAGATACCAATAATGTTTTTGAATATTTATATCAAAGAAAAACAGTAAACTAGCGGTGTATTCAATGAAATACTTCACTCACCTCATGATGCTGATGTCCCGCTGTGATGATGATGTCCCGTGCAGCCGCGGGAGCGATGTCCCGCCTCCTATGACACACGGCACAGTGATTCCTATCATTGGATCACTGTACCAGAGGAGGTGGGACATCGCTATGTGGCTGCTTGCCATAACAAGGAGGAGGTGGGACATCGTTGCAGAGCGGCAGGAGGGGGAGGAAGGGGAATCGTAAGACAGCCCTGCATTACATTAGAACGTGAGGAGGAGGGATGGTGCGGTGCGCGCTGCGCGGCAAACTGACACAGAGGGAGGGGAAACTCACAGGGGCACTGGGCCATTCACGAGTGTCACCCAGCGGCATGGCCCCGCCCCTTTTTCTTCTCCATTTCGGGCAAATTTTTCACTGACTCGAGTATAAGCCGAGGCGGCTTTTTTCAGCCCAAAAAGTGGGCTGAAAAACTAGGCTTATACTCGAGTATATACAGTATACTTTTGTTGGCAGGGTGATATCTCTGCTTCTTAGTATGCTGTCTAGATTTGCCAAAGCTTTCTTCCCCAGGAGCAAGCAAGTAGAATGACAAATAGAAACATATAAAAGATTGTTTACAAGTCTATAGTTATAGTTATAGCTTGCAAGTCTATAGTTAGTTATATATTATATCTATTATGTAAGAGGACAAATAATTTATATTATCTTTACATCTTTTATAAATTTGACTAGAGAAGGGACAGATTAATTTAATTTAGAATGCTAACAAGGTACAGAATTTCTTTTCTGACAACCAAGTCCCTATTGTCTTTTCTTACCATTTGCTACCACCAAGTAAAGTCTGGACTATGTATTTTTCTACAATGTTCAGTATTTTTTTCATTTTATAATTTAAATGGATGTAAAAATTAGTGCGCAGAATAATATCTTACATCTTTTATACCATATATTGGAAGAAAAATACATCTAAACAACTGCCTGATTTACTTAGGATTTTCCTTACGTCAAGTAAACACAGAAAATTAGATCTACAAAAATCCAGATATCTACTAGATCACAGGTGTCAGACCTGCGTCACGTTGCCATCATGTAATGTTTCACAATGTTTCGTTCCTTCGGGGAGCTGGGGTGGGTATGGCCTGCACATGATGCATCCGGCCTGCGGGTCGCCACTTTAACTCCCCGGTATTAAATGGTAGCACTGAGATACAAAATACTGTAAATCTTTACTCCTGTCATCCATATTTTTCCCCAGATTATATATTATAGTCTGACAAGAAGTCCTTGTATAAATATTTACTGTTGTTAGACCAAAACACTTTTCTAAGTTACTCAATTCGGTTTCCACAGTTGATGTTGATGTCTTATAGAAAATTCCTTAGCTACCAGATTTGGATGCTCTAGACATGCCTCTCTTTACCAATAAATTCAAGAATGTGATCTTGCAGATGAACTTAAGTCTAGCAACAGTGCAGGATATCATTTCATTCCTGCTGAGATCTACAAAGCTCTAGACCCAAATGCTTTATAGACATTCTAAGACATCTTGGAAATAATTTGATCCAGAGGACAATGTCTGTGATGCCCTAACTGTGGCTCTGTACAAGATAAGGGAAGCAAATTAGCCTGCAGTTAAGGAGGACCTACCCCAATTGATCAAATGGTTATAAGTGACAGCAGGAAGTTTCTAGTGTTAGATCTGCAAGGTTCTGTTAATGTAGCCTTATTTTTTTTTAAAAAAGTAGTTCTTGTAGTCTATATTTCCTGTCTGGCTTATCTGGAAGGGCTGACATGAAGTGCTAGAGACTCTGTACTTTCAGACTGGGCTACAGAGTCACCACCAGGTCCAGAATTGAACTGCACAGCAGTATTTGTCTTTGAAGCCAAAGGATTGCCATATTATACTTTAAAATTTCAGCCATTTTTCATAGCAGGAAAATACCAATGGAATCATACTAGTCAATGTCTTATTAAACAACACCAATGTTTATAATGTGAAATAACAATCAATGCTATTTGAACATTCATATTGGATAATTTCAACTGAAGGGAGAGATCAAATTAAACAATGGGAAAATGTATATACAGAGTCCTAAAACAAGTTAAATATGTATGCCTTGACTTTTGCACGCCACTAAACATCAACAAATCTTTTTAATGCTGCATTGCTTAGCTGTCTACTGAATGTTGTAGTCATTCAAGCGAAATGCAAACAGAAAAAGAATTTTAATTCCAAGCTTAGAATAATTTTAAATCTTAAATATGTAGAAGCGTTAGCTCCTAGATAAAACAAAGAAAATATTGTTCTGTTAACTATGTAATACCAGTATTTCCTTTGTTATCAACTTTTTAATGTCAACATATTTAATCTTGCTTGCTTCTTTCTGCAGGATACACATGAAGAAAACGAAGATGGCAAAACCAAGTCAAGTGTTAACTATTTTTCTTCTCTTTGAAATGTCAGTGTTTGGTCAATATGAGAGTGATGATTTTGAGGATGAATACGAGCATGAAGTGGATAGTGAATATCCATCTATTTTTCATCAAATTCCTCATGTAGAATATAACGTTCCATACTCCACCATACCTGCTGAGTGTGCCAAAGAATGCTTCTGTTCACCTACTTTCCCAACAGCCATGTACTGTGATCATCGCAAGCTTCTGACAATACCAAAGATTCCAGCTCACATCCAACAACTTTATCTGCAGTATAATGAGATTGAAGCTGTGCCTCTGGAATCCTTTGTTAATGCTACAGCTTTGAAAGAAATTAATCTCAGCCATAACAAAATCAAGTCTCATAAGATTGACAATGGTGTATTCGTCAAACTTGCAAACCTCACCCAACTTCATTTAGAATATAATCAGTTAGAAGAAATTCCATTCCCATTACCCGGAAGCTTAGAAAGGTTAATCCTGGGTTCCAATCAAATTTCCAAGTCCCACGGTAAAGCCTTGGAAGGGTTAACACATTTAACAATGCTTGACCTCTGTAATAATTATCTTGAGGATTCCCAGCTCAAAGGAATAGACTTTTCAAGTATGAGAAACCTAATGCAGATTAACCTTTGTAGCAACAAACTACAGTCTATGCTTCTGGATCTACCACCTTCAGTGATGTATCTTTCACTTGAAAACAATTCAGTTTCTTCCATTCCAGATAATTACTTCCACAAGCTTCCAAATCTTACTGCTTTAAGAATGTCACATAATAATCTTGAAGAAATTCCTTTTAATGCTTTTATGTTCTCTAGTCTTCTGGAACTTAACCTTGGGCATAACAAATTGAAACATGTTTTCTATATTCCAAGAACCCTACAACATTTATACTTAGAAGATAATGAACTGGAAGGTTAGTTTAATTGCTTTTATAAATCTAGTTTTTTTAACATTTACTTTTACTTGACGCATATTTAATTACACTGTAATATATGTATTAGTGAATTAGCTTTCCAAAGGTCATTATGCTAAAATTCATGTGGTATTAAATTAGCTAGCAACCATATGGAGTTTTAACTGGCATATTAGATATCGGAAGAAAACAAGTAAGAGCTATAACCCAATTAATTTCATATGTTGCAATTCGCCTTTTGCTTAAAAGATACAGATACATGCCAAATCCTTACATAGGATTTGTTATGCAAAAAAGATGGCCACAATTTCCCAAACTCTCAGTTAAGATCATATTGGCTGCTGGTTTCTTTTGGTCCTATATCAATGATTAAGGACCCTACATTAACAGAGTGGTGGAGACTGAAAAAAATCAATTTCAGCTGAAGTAAAGTCAATAATAATAGAAGATTTCTGGTTATTGGTTTTGCTCTCGTAACAGGAAAAGAGTACTTTGGAATATCTTGCAAGAACCTGTATTTACTTTAATGAACATTGCTTTTGTCTTTTTACAGTCATGAACGTTACTTTAATGTGTCCTACTATTGATCCACTGAACCTCAAGCATTTAACGTACATAAGAGTGGACCAAAACAAGCTTACAGCTCCAATCAGCACCTATGCATTCTTCTGCTTTCCACATGTGCGGAGCATCTATTATGGAGAACAAAAAATTAGCAAAGATCAACAAACACAGCTGAGAACACCTCTGTTCCGAAGATTTTTCACGCAAGAAGAATATGAAGAAGCAGAAGATTTTCATGAAGAACAAGATGAAAGCCATGATCACGATTCCAGAGGAAGTGACAATGACAACTACCTTGATCCTTACTTCTATTAAAAATTTATGAGGTAGTAAAACTAGCAAAATAATAATAATATCAAGTATAAATGAAAACAGAATAAACTAGAAAATGCAGTAAACCACCTGAAACTAATCAATATATTTTGTAGCATATAGAATATTTTTATGTAGAAAATCTCAATAGCTATGAAAATAGTATGTTTCTTAGATATTCAAACTATTAATAGGAGACTATGAAAGCATTTTAAATGTCATAGAAACATTCAGGTGAATAACAAATGCCAAGACAATGTTATCTGTATAAAGTTGGTATTGTAATGATAATCTCTAAATCCTGATATATTTGAAACTGCAATATGACACGCTACTGTTATTTGACATATATCTTATTTTTAGTTTGAATAAATTTTCTAAGACAAGTTACAGTTTATTCAGAATCCTAATTAGGCTTGCAGCAAAACCATTACAATAGTAGATTTAAAAATCTCTTGGTATTTCAGTTAACATTTAACTGAATGGCTAAATGGTCAAGCATTTAACATTTTATGCTTTATGCATGTAGGTGTATCTATGTATAAACTTAACATTCATGAAAAAATCATCTTTTGCCCAAATTCACTTCATAAATATGAAATTATTCAGGGAGCTATCCATTGATTCAGAAGAATAAATTGAAGTTAATACTGTACTCAAGTGAAACAGATGGCTAGTGGGTAATGGTTCACTTAAAAATCATAATTTTAATCCAAAGCTGTATAAATTATAATATGAATAATAGAAAGATCAGCAATCTTTTCAATTGACAGGATACTCACAAATAAAATGAAAACCAATCAAAATCTTAAGAGATCCTCAAAATTCACATAATCTTACTAACTTTACTCCTGATATCTTTGCTATCTCTCATAGTAAATAATAAAACATTCATTCTGCTGCATAACATTTCAGGAGATTTTGGTTCATTATCATAAGCACCTTTTTCCGCCTATAGGCATTATCTACCTTTTGGTTGCATAAAATCATGGTTGATATCATAAACACGTTACCATGGGCCCAACTATTACTCTTGTACATTTCCAATATAGTTAATGAGCAATAAACTTAACGTTTGTTACAGAATATAAAATGTTATCTAGAATGCAATCTCAATAAAAAGAGAATATTTGTACCTCAGGGTTGATGCAATCTGCAACCAAACCAAACAAGAAGGTACAGACAGACACATATTGCAACAGAGGGGAAAATCAAGACTTGGCTTATACTTTATCAACAATTCAAGGTTATAAAATATACTGTTCTATTCTTTAGATATAAATATAATATTAAATATAATATTAAAATATATTTTAAATCAGTATTCACATTTATTTTGATTCCATATATGGGTTTTAATCAGATAGTTAACAATAAATACTTAAATATATATTGTGTTTATAAAAGTATAAGATGTTACAAATAAATCATGATAAGATTGAAATACATAGTTGTTTTTTTTGCTAGCGAATTACTTTCTCTCGTTTTTAAATTGGGTTCTCCATAGACAGTGATACACCAAAAAGATGTAATCTGATGCACCAAAAACATGGCATTTCGTTTTGATAATCTTTATTTTCATTTTCTAAATACTAAACATGTTGTGCTCTTGACTTGAAATACATTAATTCATAAAAATAGTATCATTTAACAAATATTTTGTATTCTTAAAAGTTTAATAGAATGTACTAGCATTCTACAGGAATAAATAATCAGATTTTTATATTTATTGTTATATAAAGCTATGAATTAAAAACTAAGCATATCATGTTTTTGAGAAATTTCAGAAGACCAATGTAAGAGCTAACACCAAATTTTTTTTTAGAAAAATTGGATTACATAGTTTTATTCCTATTTTCTCCTTCCTTTCAATCATGTCTGATTCTTGGAGACTAGAACAAGTCCCTGTAGTTTTCTTGGCAAGACGTTTCAGAAATTGTTTGTCTTCTTCCAAGGGCTGAAAATGACTGTCCCAGTCATGATCTCTATGTTTCTAGTCTGATGCGTTAACTTCTACAGTAAATTTTTACTTATAGGGATATTACAAACAATATTGAATCCTCTAACTAAGTACCTTTAATTGATAATACATGCCATAAATTGTTGATTTTCAGTTAAGTGGGAATGCTAGCAATAGATTTTATTAACTACACTTGTGTTGTTTTAACAGGTTGGCTAAATTAGTTAGTATCTTGGTTCTAAAGATATAGTCATGTGTGTGTGTGTGTGTGTGTGTGTGTGTGTGTGTGTGTGTGTGCTGGTCTTGTTGTATTCGGGTCTTTTCCCGTGTAAGATTGAGATTGTCTTGGCAATGTTTCGGCGAGGTCCCACTCACCATCTTCAGGCTGGTATTTTCGGCTTCGTTCTTGTGCGAGTAAAGTGTGGTCGGAGCTGTCGTCTTTCTATAAAACTTAGTGGGGGTGTGTGGAGTGCTGCCTTTGTTGCTGTAAATGGGTTGATTGGCTGCGTAGTTGCATCCTGATTGGTAGATGAAGTTGATGTTTGTAGATTGGTCGGTTGTTTCGTATCATCCTGTGTGGCTGAGGTGCTGGCTGTGTGTCCGTTGTTCTTTTGTGTTGTAACGACCTGGTTGGTGGGTGGGGTTCGTTTGTTGACTAGGGCTAGTTTCCAGATGTCTGGCAGGCGGGAGATATCGTCACATTTATTCATGTTGTGGGGATGTTTCTATATTTCGATGGCTTCCATAATTATTTTCTTGTTGAAGTGTTCTGTTTTGGAGATTAACCTGGTTCCTTCAAAATTAATTTCATGTCCTGTAGCTTTAAGGTGCTGGAAAAGGGAGGAAGTTTTTTCTTTTTTTCTTACTGCGTTTTTCCTTACCTCCCTTTTCCAGCACCTTAAAGCTATAGGACATGAAATTAATTTTGAAGGAACCAGGTTAATCTCCAAAACAGAACACTTCAACAAGAAAATAATTATGGAAGCTATCGAAATAGAGTAACACCCCCACAACATGAATAAACGTAACAATACCTCCCGCCTACCAGACATCTTGAAACCAGCCCTAGTCAACAAACAAGCCCCACCCACCACCAAGGCTGTTACAACATGAAACAACAATAGACACAGAGCCAGCACCAATCAGCACCAATCTACCAATCATGATACAACCACACAACCAATCACTCCACTTACTGAAAAAAAGCCAGCACTTCAGACCCACCCACCAAGATTTATAGAAAGACGGCAGCTCTGATCACACTTTAAGCCCAAAACCCAGCCTGAAGATGGCGAGTGAGACCTCGCTGAAACGTTGCCAAGACAATCTCAATCTTTCACGGGAAAAGACCCGAATACAACAAGACAAGCATACCTACACCCGTGAAAATCTATGAAAACACACACACACACACACGATACATCATGTATGCCAATAAATCAAGACTTTAATTGTTCTTCATCCTGCATGTAATTTTTAAGGTAAAGCAATTTTTATACTTCATTTATCACTGATTTTTAATGTTTTGTCATTTCTATCCTAGCAGTTACCAAAAGGGAAAAAAAACCTTTCTTATTTCATACTAAGTATTAGCTTTATCAAAAGTAACAAATAATATTTCCAGAAAATAGTACATCCTATTATCTAATAAACTTTGTCATCTATTGCATTTCTCAATCAAACCAAATGTGGATCAATATCTCTTATATTCCACAATCCACAAATTCCACAACGAGAATAGAAAACTGAACATATGCTCATTCATTTCCACTAAATTAAAACCTCTGTCAAGATTGAACCACTTTGCTTCTTTCAAACCTTAACACTTTTCAACTTGCCAATGAACTGGAAGGAGGGAAGGGAGAAACAGAATGCTGAAAATGTGTGTGTGTATCATGAGAGCCTGGCAACCATCAAGGTCACCATTGCAGACACTTGAGAAAGAGATGGACTGTTTCCATTGCAAAAGGACATCTCATAACTGGACAATGTGGTCATCCAGAGAGAAAGGGAAGTTGTTGTTTATCTAAGCAAGCATTTGCATGGAAAAACCAGAACTAGTTTTGATTCTTCAGTACCAAAATGCTGTATCCAATAAAGTTTTCCTTTTGGAATTCAAAGCTCCCAAGAGCGTTTCTTTATTTTGGGTTCACTTGTCGGACAATTGATGTAGATTATTATTATTCTATTTTGCGGCTCATGATGATTCCTGTGTAGTGACATTATTCCATGTTCAGGATATTTGAATAGTTGAACCAAAATTTTAGTTTTCAGAAAAATTCTATTGCACGTAGCAGTATTCGCCATCCATAAAAAGGTGATATTTTCATAAATAAGTTATGTTTAAGTGATCCCAACAAAGTTTAGATATTTTCTAAATAATACTTTAAAGTTGCAACTGCAGATTCATTTGTTCTTTGAATGTACAGGATGGTGAAAAAGAAAAGAAAATGCATATTCCTAGAAAACTATAACTATTTCCGTAATAGTTTAGGTAATTGGAAATGGTAGCAAACAAACAACAAACTAATATTAGAAGGTTAACATACATAAGCAAACCATATTCATTCATGGTTCAAACCCAGCACCTTCTGAAAATATTTTCAACAGCATAATTTAGCAATTTTCATAGAAATGTTGATAAATTAGTCTGCTAGAATTTTTATTTATTAAAGTTCTATGCTGCCCATCTCACTGAGACAGCAATTTAGGATGAAGGGCATGAGACAGATAGGGCCTCTGAATATGAGAAGTTATTGAAACTTCCTTTACCAATTTTGAGAATAAGGCACCCTACCATGTGAGGTGGAGAATATGTTAGGAAAATATAACATCAAATTGAATCCCATAGCAACAGTTGGAAGTTTTGGAATTGCAGTATCATCCTACCTCTTAGTATGACCTCCAACAGATCTTTCTCTGGTTATCAAAGACTGAGTTAAGAGGCTGCAACTGGAGAAATCTCAGAGAATAAACTAGATCAGAGACTCACAGTAGAACACTTGTTTCATCATCTACATCGGGGTGTGCCAGCTGGGGAATTCTAGTAGCTGGGACACCCCAATGTAGGTGGATGAAACAAGTGTTCTACTATGACTCCCTGATCTTTGTTTGTTTGTTTATAATGGAATAGCATGAACAGCCTAGTCACTAGGCATCAGCAAAGCCTTTCTGGGATACTTCTTTAAACAATGAGTAAAAGAACAAAACAAAATAAAGCCGAAGAATGGAATGAGATCATTGTGAGAATGCAATTGCAATTGTTTTTCTTCCCACAACCAGCAATTTAAGGTGCTGTTATCACTTATAAAGCCCTACATGGCATAGGACTGGGTAATTTGCAGGAGGAGCCTTCCCAATGACATTACCCAATCTCATTCATTATATTGGATAGTACATTTTGGGTCCCTTCCCTGAAACAATGCTTTGTCCATGACCTGTGAAATGATCCACCCACTTCTCTTCCAATATTTGGCTGGCCCTGATCCTACTGGCCTTCAGAAATACTTTATTAACTTGAGTATTTCCACAGATGCTGGGGCTGGAATAATTGTTGCCATCAAGAAGTAAGTATGAACCTGTTTGTCTGAGTTTTCATTCACACTTTTTCTTGTTTTCTTCGCTTCGTAAGTCAGCCAAAGTATCAGTGTACAACCCGGGGAGCCAAATGCATACCTTATTTTTGGGACTATAAAACACACCATGATTTGAAGAGGTAAATTTTTTAAAAAAGTTTTTGCACTCTGCAGGCCTCCCAAATCCTCTGCATGCCTTGTTTTTTGCAAAACACACAAAAAAGGTCATGCATAGCCTTTAGGAGGCTTGCAAAGTTCCTGGGGGCTGCCCCCCCAAAAAAGAGCAAAAATGGTCCATTTTTTTGCTCATTTTGGGGGGTCCAGCCCCCAGGACCACTTTGCAAGCATCCGAAACCCTCTGTACGTCCATTTTTGCAAAGGGGGGGGTCATTAGGTCAAAAATGCTGTATTCAGTGTATAAGACGCACCCAGAGTTTCACTCTCTTTTTTGCGGGGGGAGGGGGAGATAGGAGTGACTTGTACTGCGAAAAATGCGGTACTTTAAATAAACAAATAAACAAAACTGCTTATACTGCCTCAATCTGTGCACTGATAGTGATTAAAGTGCAAAATTAAGCTTATTCACATGGAGTGCACACCTCTGAGTGAAGAGTTTCTTATTAACTCATTCCTTAGAAAACATGAATATTGACATTCTCAAAGTAACTGGCCTTAAGCTAAGAGTGCATCAATTTTAATAGACGGAAGCTACATTTACTGATTTTTTTCCCTGTTAGGTACTATGACTCCATACCTCCGAAATGTCAGAAGAAAATTTCAGGCAGGGAGGGTGGGATGGGAATTTTTCTTTTCTAAATACTGGCTTGGAATATGTTTGTTCTTCCAGACTTCATATTTGGGTGAAAATATAATATAAAAAATTAGAGATTCAATAACCCCTGAATTTACTAAACAGAAGACAGAACAGATGTCAGGACTCTAAATAATCTTCATATGCATTAATATTCAAAACCAACAAAAGACCAATATCATTGCAACATAATGGAAACTGATTCCAATTTTGCCTTTAACAACACTCTCAGTCAGCACAGTGAATGGACAGAGTACAGTTATGTTAAACATGGATCAAGTTGCAAAAGAGCACAAACTGTAAAGCAACAGATGTGCTATTATCCAAAGCATCCAATTCCAACTGAGATGGTATTCCAGAGCAAACAGCTGGTTTCTGAACTCTGACTTTTGTGGAGTAATAAGCTGTGTATAACTGAAAACCTTCAGGGTAGCTGTTGTTTTAAAAAGCTCTCTAAAGTGAAGAAATAAAAATCTCAGCTGATATTTTTAGCAGGACTGTCAAATTGAAGAATGTAACAAAAATCAATAAATGAAACAGCTACGGTCTTGCTGTGTGCACATCTAGTTCTTATTAATCTTCACTGCCTACGTATAAAACAGTGAATGTTCTGAACTAATGTTTTATAGCAGGGCATATCAAAGGATTTTCACCAAAATCCTTTATAATGCAAACCTGCTTCTCCTAAACATTAGACGTTCAATGAGTATTTTTCATTGTTTTCTGTATTTTTCGCTCTTTTCTGTAATGATCTATTAAGATTGGAATGCTAGACAGTCTTCCAAAAAATAAAAGTAATTAACTCTGACACTGCTGAAGAAAGACCCCAGGAAGGTGAATGGAAAAATAGTGTCCACCAACTCTTGTTTGAAAGTTTATGCTGCAAACTTAAAAGTTTTGCAATTTTTTTTCCTACACACACAAAAATGGAATGCTTATACTTTATCTGAAACGGAAGTCACTGTCTTTGTTTTTCATTAAATGCTAGACTAAATGAAAAGCACATGACTTTACTGAAGTCTTCATTGCATGAAACTGCAGCTGATCTAGGAAATGCTTTCAACTTTGAGCAACTAGATTAACATATTTGAAATTGGACTCATTCCATTTTGTAGCAGAGCAAAACTGATTTATCATGTAACATTTTGCACATAAGCCTGCATGCTAACAACAACTCTTTTTACCCTACAGACAGCACATCTAAAGTCTATCCATCTTTGAAACTGCATTATTTCAGTTTCTTGAAAATAAACCATAACTTTTCTCTGGCCATTTGGAATTAATGCACAGAAAACTATATTGAACATAGATTCACAAGAGGTCTTATTCAGCAAAACGGTAGGTGTTGTTTTCCAATAAATTATCTTAATGTATACCACATGGTTACAATTTACTGTAAAAATAGCTTGACTGTATAATTCATTATCTAGAAACTATCATCAGTATATCTTTCTTGAATTGTATGCATGCTTTATATCTAAAATATGCTTTTATTCATTTTTATTTTTAAATTCCTATTTTTTCTGGAAAGCATAGATCTTTAAGACAATACAAACTATTACTTTCACTCCAGGGATGGGCTTAGCTTGGCTCCACATTTTAACTATTTCTTCACTCTGTGTATCAGATCTCAAAATATGGGGTTTCAATTGCTTCCAATTAGCATGCAAAATGAGAAATTATAGGAATCTGAAATAATATCAAGTATATAAATATATATTGTTAAACTGTATAGTACCAATTTTTAAACAAAAGAAGGATTTAAATAAAGAATACTAAGAGTTAAGTCATCTTTCCCTGTTCCCTGAGCATTAGAAAACTGCTGCCAGCTACTCTTCTAGGGCTTTAAATATTGTTCTGACAGATTGCTTTCCTTGTTTCCAGTTACAAGAATCATTCTCCTTGGTCCTTTCAGCAAAACTCAAGTCTGAGCTTCTGAAATGAAGACTTCACAGAAATTTTATCTCTTCTGTTTTTTTATGCCCTTGGTGAAGCTAGCACCACCTAATCAACACTCAACTCTGTTTCATGAAACATTCCAGCAAGGTTATGAAGATGCATTATTTCAGGAAGACTATGGAGACTATCCACAGGACGGAGTAAAAAATAAGGTAGCTTACAAGTTCTATATTCCTTTTTTTCCACTTTGCCAGTGTATTACTTAGCCCTGAATGCATGTTTCACAGCTAAATATAGCAGCCAACAAAAGGGGGGGGGAGCAAGGAGATACAAAAAATATATGAATATAATACATATATAGATATTATTGTTTTATTTTGTATTCTTTATTTCTTTATAATTACCTAATCCAAATACCTGTACTTATAGAAATATATAATATGGCCATGAGCCAAGCTTAAATTTGACTCAAACTATAATTATTGCTTTGTTTCTAATGATATACACAATAATGTTATGTGTCACTGCAAGAAATTATCAGGGTTTTCTTATACACCAAGCATTCAGATTGGTCTCCTGAGAATCATAATTGAGGGGGACCTGCTGCTATTAATTAATTTTCTGGCCTGAGAAAATCCTGAAGTAATTCCCCAACCACATATAAGAAATATATTTAATAATGAACTTCTTTCATGTGACCCAAATTAAAATAAATGCATATTAGGGGTACAATACAAATAACACACTGTTGCAATGTGATGTTTATTATTGAGAGAAAGAAAATACTGTAAGCTGATCAACTCGGTTGCCTTTGAGGAAGAATAAATAGAATAATTTACACTGAATAAACCACACAATAGTTCTAATCTTAATCAACAGAATTATATTATCTACCCATTCACAGTATACCTAGGTAGAAAGTTTGAGTTTTATTGAGCCCATATTGATTTTTAATCAATACCAAGAGAAATAATGGATTTAGAATTTATACTGTGTGGAAAGATCATGCTCAGTTAAAACACACAACAATTAAAAGTGTGTGTATGTGTGTGTTTTAAATTAATTATCTCAAGAGAAAGCAGTTTAATGATTAATATATCTAAATTTCTTTTCATTGCTTGAGAATACCTATTTGGTATCATTAATCTAAAAAAAGTAAAACCATTAATAAATCATTGTCCTAACAACCCCTGATTTGAGGGATTGCCTGCAAGTCAGTATTGGCTCCTGGTGACTACCTGAATTAGTCCCTGAAGGCTTCTTAGTAAGATTTTCAGAAGTGGTTTGCTATTACCTCCCTCCTATGGCTGATAGTGTATAGCAATAGCAGTTAGACTTATATACCGCTTCATAGGGCTTTCAGCCCTCTCTAAGCAGTTTACAGAGTCAGCATATCGCCCCCACAGTCTGGGTCTTCATTTTACCCACCTCGGAAAGATGGAAGGCTGAGTCAACCCTGAGCCGGTGAGATTTGAACCGCCGAACTGCAGATAACAGTCAGCTGAAGTGGCTGCAGTACAGCACTCTAACCACTGCACCACCTTGGCTAGTATGACTAGCCTAAGGTAACCAGCTGATTTTATGCCTAAAACATACAGTCTCCTGATTTCTAGCCTGGTGCCTTAAACTCTACACTAAACTGATTCTGTTGCAACTATGATACTTACTCTGACCTGTAAGAGCATATATTTTGTGCTTTCACATAATGCCTGTGCAAGGTGTGCAGAGGTCACCCATCCTTTTTTATTTTCTAAGGATGTTCAGGAAGTCTACAGGTGAGAACAACACAAAAACGAAGCTAGCAACTAATAAGCAAAATAGCTTTTACATTAAATGAACAAAAATAACAACGATCTGAGCTTTCTGAATTCACCATTTTTTAAAATCAGAATGCTCCTGAGAAACCCATGAGCAAAACTTGGACACAGTGAAGGTTTAATGCAGGGGTGTCAAATTCACTTGAGTTTCCTCAAATGCAAGTAAAAGTCCCTATTAAGTATTATGTAATAGCAATAGCCATAGCACTGAGACTTATATATCGCTTCACAGTGTTTTACAGCCCTCCCTAAGTGGTTTACAGAGTCAACATATTGCCCCCAACAATCTCGGTCCTTTACTAACCTAGAAAGAATGAAAGACTGAGTCAACCTTGAGCCAGTGAGAATTGAACTGTTAAACTGCAGGCACCTGGCAGACAGCAGAAGCAACCTGCAGTACTACATTCTAACCATTGTGCCACCACGGTTCAATAATGGTGACAAAGGCAACAAAAGATACTTATTTTCTCCCTTCTGTTTGTGTCTACAGATAAACAACTGGCAATCCTGTTTAAGTTGTTTTATTCAATGTTGGGAAAGAATGGGCTTCAGGACTGCCTACAGGGCTGCAATGAGGAATACTCTAGATACCTATGGGATAAAAACACTTGGGTTCATTCAAAATTGGACTCCAACTGGACAAGACCTGTTAAAATGCATTTGGCAGTCTTGTGGAGTTAGATGGGAGGGCTTTGATCAAGGGGTGGGGTTCAAAAGTTTCAACAACAGGTTCTCTACCTGGTTGCTGGGGGGGGGGCATGGCCTACTCAGCCTCCTGCACCAATGGGGGGGGGGCGCTTTTGCCTTCCTCGAGCCTCTCGGAGGGCGAAAACTACAGAAACAGGCCCAGGAGACTTCCAGGAGGCCTATTTCCCCCCCTCCCCAAACCTCCGTATGGGCCCTGCACTTACTTTGCATCCAAAATGATGATGTAGAATAGCAAGTTGGATTTCAAAAAAATATCCAAGCCATCTAGATTAGCTATTTTTCAAATGGTTTAATATAATACTGATCATATATAGCAGTATAAAAATAAAAATAAAATATTCTGGTAGCTAAGGATTTTTTCTTTCATTATATTACATTAACATATCTAATTCAACCAAATGCTCTTTAAAATCACGATAGCAAGTTGTGATTTGAACCTACTAAGTATTTTCAAATAATTGCTATAGATTAACTCTCAACTCAAAGGTTGACATTTGATCTCGCAGGACAGATTCCAAACTACTTGGAAACAGAAAATTGGTGATAAAGTTCAGAAATTATATTTTGCATTAGAAGCACATATGATACTGGCACAACAGCAGATTATGGCAGCCCTTAAGCAAAGGATTCTTGATACAGAATTGCAAGCTAAGCACAACATGATGCCGGCTGGAATGCTGTGGGAGATATATGTTTCCAACTAGTCTGGTATCTTAACAAATTCACAGTTAAGTGGTTTCTTAGGACCTTCACACAGCTGTGCTTTGATATCCTACCATTATGAAGGCAAATTTCAGAAAAACCTCTGAACAGAAAGGACTAGTTTTACAATACTCAAATGGAACATCTGTAGAGAGACATCAGCTCTTAATGCCCAATTAGGCGTTTACACAGATATCTAAGATTTTTTTAAAAAACTCGGCAGATAAGGACTTTTTAACTTGGCAGATAAGAACTCTAAAAAAACAAAAGACATGGCTAAATTTACATTTGCAACTTGCAGAACCTGTCCTTCACTAATGATAAATAACTTTGGACTGATTTCTGGTTGTATTGGGTACACTAGAATAATGTGTTAGAACGTAAGACTGCTGTATTGTTCTGATGTTATTGCATTTCCCTTTTTCCCCTCTTATTTTACTTTATTTTGATTTTGATTGTTTGGTGGATCTGTAATAAATCCATTCACTTTCAATGGAAACTCATTAAACAGGAAGAGTTAAGTTCGCAATACAATTTTCTGCATTGTTTTCGACCAGTCAACAAAAACTTAAGATAAGTATGTTTTAACAACCGTAACATGTAAAAACATCATTACCATTATAGTTGAATATCAGTGTATTATTATCAGCTATGCTTATATAACATATATATTGTATATTTTGTGTTATATATTATATTTTATATATTTAAAAGGAAGACAACACTTTCGTTTTCAATGAAAATAATGTACAGCTGCAAAGAGATGATGAAAAACTTGCAGAGGGAACAACAAATTATACAAGTAAGTTTTTCAACTTTATAATAAACAGAATAGTTTCCAAAGCTGTCAGTATTATGGCTAGAAACATTATTAGGTATGTCTGTTGTACTAAACAATAACAACTGTTGGTTAAGCAATTAGGCAGCAATTAAAGGATATTGTAAACATTCTATATAGGAATTCCAGATTTTCAATAAGCGTTTTTTAAAAATATATAGTGCAATGACATGCTTACAGATACCGCAGAACTATATGATAGGACTTCCTAACACAAGTTCAGGTAGAGAACCCTTTTCTTTTTGGCAATCAAGCCTTATTGAGCTCATGAAGTAGCATTTGTGACATATTCAATCTGTTTCCTGCTGCACTGCAATGACAATGGAATTTCAGTGTCCGATAAAAGGCAAATCATAGAAAACTTCAGCCACTGATTTACGGATAATGGAGGAAGACCACCAATCAGAATGCAACCAAAATACAGTACATTATTCTCTGAATGTTATAGGCCATAATCTACCATATTAATCCAGTCTGGTTTGGTAAACAAAGACATCTCATCTTTCACATCACTTGTCAATCTCGCAGGCTACGAAAGGCAACAGATTTGTCACTTTGGTATAACAGGACTATATCTAAAGACAATGAATGATGTTTCCAACAGCACAAAATGAACTTTCTTTTTTTTTTCACCATCTTGCAATTGGCATATGCTATAGCATGGAAATTCACTGTTCAAAACTACTCTAAAAGGTCCAACAGCCCAACTTGGCTAATTTGTTTCTGTCTATTGCTCATCAGAAGCCAAACTTGGCTAATTTGCAAGATTAAGCAGTGAGAGTAGTAGGAACAGTTATTTGTCTGTTAGTCTGAACATTTTTTAAAGAATCCTAGAAGAAAACAATAGTAACTACATGATTGCCAAGAAAACTACATGGACTGGGTATATCACAAAATGATCAGGAACTGAACTTAACTAGAGGGAATGTTTATCTTTTATTCCAAGCAATTTTGTATATTTCCACTGTATAGACTTTTTTCTCAAAGGCTAGCACTATCAGTAAGCATCTGTAATCAACCCCCTCCCCTCCAAAGGATGCCTGAATAACCTAGATTCTGCAGGAAAGTGTGGAAGATAATTTTTTTATAAACTGTTGAAACATTTATCTAGACTTCTACTTAAACTGACTCAAAATTATATACTTTCAGCAATGGCTACTTGTCTACTATGTGTTTGTTTAATTCGTTCAATGTACTGTGAAGAAACTGATATGGAAAGTATCCCTGTTCTGCCAAAGGAAACAGGTTACCTTTATGCAAGATTCAACAAAATCAAGAAGGTGAAAGTATCTGATTTTGCTGAAATTCGTAAGTAAATCGTAAAAATAAATTTGATGATTAATAATTGGAAACACACTTTGGTTAGCATTTAGTTATCTGTATTTTTGAACCACTAGCTATTACAGAAAGTAATAATACTTTTTTTTTCAGAGAAAAGTAATTTTACTGGCCAAATTATTTTACAAATCAGATTAAAGTTTTTTTAATATAATGGCTTCTGAAGATTATACTTTTAAGCACTCCAATATTCTGATGACTACATTCCTTTAAAAGTGATTGGTGGAGGGATGGTGCCGGGGTGATGGTGTAAGAGGTCAGTGGCAGCTCGGGAAGAAGAGAGTAGCATCCAGGATCAAATGTATCCATGACTTTTAAAATGACATATTTCATTTCAGAAATATATTTTCATTTTCATGTTGATTTTAAGATGGGATTGCATTTATCAGAAATCCAGATTATTTGTGTTTATGAGTAGTCCTCAGGTTATGGCGGTAATTCAAACTGTATCACCATGGCTAACCAATGCATTCATAAAGCCCAGTGTCATGTGACCATATTGCGTAGCAATGAGAATCCAAGTAGTTCTAGTTGTCACTATAATCCAAAACACATGGGTCATTAAGCAGGAATAAGTAAGGTAAGGGGTGCTGTGGTGGTAGTACAGGCCATGTGTGAGTCATGAAAGAGCCAGCACAGACCATATGTGAGCTGAGGGAGGCAGATGGGGGCCTAGTTAGGCCAGCACAAGATGCATAGAAGTCAGGGAAGACCTTGGAAGAAAAGGTGGGAGTGACTTACTGAAGTGACTTGCAACTTTCCCTGCTGGCTTCCCCATTGCCTTTGCTTGTGAGAAGATGGCAGGGAAGGTTGCAAATGGGGGTCCCATTACTGCACTCCCTGCAATGTCATAATTGCAAGCTGGATATCCAAGTGCCCTGATCACAATTACATGTCTGTAAGTGTGCTGCAAGGGCCAGAACTTTGAAGACTTCTGATATGTCAATTTTTAGTACCACTTTGCAGCTTTAAATAGTTGCTGAATGATTGAACATAAGCTGAGGACTACCTGTATATGCCTTTCAAATTTAGGCACAAGATTGAAGTTAGGTTGAAGATTGCATGTGGCCCATTGCCACTCCTGACTTAAAAGAAGCACAAATTAAGCAGACCATGTTTCCTATGTAAATCAGCATTATTCAGTTGCTGACCACCGGAACACCTTGCTGGCCCTTCTCTTTGATTCAAAATATTTTTTCTTTAAAAAAATTCTGACTAGTGAAATTCACAGCCCAAAGTTCAAAGAGTCTTCTAATTCATGTTAACTAGCGCCATCAACCTTTAGTACCTTTAAGAGACAGAATCAATGCTTTCCTCCTCTATGCTCCCTCTGTTTGTGAACTCAGTAGTTAACTGCTGACAGAGACAAAGGAAAATGACTGAAAAGACATCAAAAGTATTAATTCCGTGTTCCCCCCAAATAAGAAAAAAGTTGGAAATGCCCTCTTCTTCCAGTCATCAAGACTGACCACAAGGAGCTACATAATTGGAAAATAAAAATGGCAATCTAGGAATGCAAAGAGACAGTAAATGTGTCCAACTGTTTGCATCCTGGAGGAGCACTTATATCAAACTGGGATAAGCCAATACACTTATATGAAACTGAGGGGAAGGATACAATTTTACTTCAGATCTCAATGATTTTATAATTTTGTTTAAAAAATATTACTACTTTTCTAGAGAATTAATTATTTACAAATAGTGTTTTTACAAAGAAGGGATTTTTAGTTCCTGTGTTGGAAAAGTTATCTATCTCTCAGGTAGAATACAGAGAATCATCTTAACCATATATGTAGAACAGGTTTTTTATTTAGTCACTTCAGCACAGAGCATGCCTTTAAGCAGTAAACACCCATAGAAAAGATGTTTTAATTGTAATATTGTTTGCTTTTAAGCCACCCTAAGAAGAATTGATTTGACGGGAAATGCAATTCAAGAGATTGAAGATGGAGCCTTTGCAAAGTTAATTCTACTAGAAGAACTTTCATTAGCTGATAATCGGATAGCCAAGCTTCCAGTTTTGCCTCCCAAACTAACTTCACTAAACCTAAATAACAACAGAATTAAAAGCAGAGGAGTTAAAGCAAATGCTTTCAAGGTAAAATCATTATTAAGTACAAGCACTACTAAATGAAACCAATCTGAATTATTTCAAAATGAACTACTGCACTTAGAAAATAAGTATTATATAAGAAATATATTGGACTAATGTGTTATCATGATTATCATTCTAAGATTTAAATTTCAAGCTTACTAAATTGATTGACTTGTGCTGAAGGATCAATATCTTAGAGCAGTGAAGAAATCTGTCAATCACATAGGTAGAAAAAATAATTGTAAGAACAAAAGCATTATTCTCTGCCTGCTTATATGGAAGTAAATCATGCTGAGTTCAATAAACATTACTTTTAGGTAAGATAATGTACTGATGTACAATATTTTCATTTTACTTTAAGCCTTCAAACAATAGTGCAAAATGTATTACAGATGGAAATGCTAAGTCGGCATAAAGTAAATTTACAATCAATCCCAAAATATTATTAGCATTCTTGCATATTTATCTTATTACAGATACTGATTGTAGTACCTAGGTCATGAGATAGGACTAACAATTTAACTGAGTATCTTCCATAATCTTATATGAGCAAAAGAACAAAAAAGCTAGTTTTTTTATTCCTGAAGTTCTGATGAGATTATAGTATCTCAAGATTCCACATATTTTGAGAGATCAGTGGTTTTGTGAAATTTCAACTTTTTTTTAGATTTTAATATTCTTTAAATTAATTTTGAGGTTCTGTGTATACTTATAAGGATTTTGTGAGTTCCTTGCTGCATGTCCATGTTTTAATGGAAATCCTATTACTTTTGTAAAGTTGTCCAACCTTTGCCAATGACAACCGAACAAATAACAAGTCTTGTTTAAAGTCTTTATATATTTAATTCTGACTGAATTCTATTTGTTTACATTCTAAACAGCGGTCTAAATGCAGCATCTTCACTTGCACTGGACAGAATTACATCTGGACTGATTTCTCAATTAAAACTAATCCCAGATACTTTATCCTACATTACAGATTAAGTTTAAGTGCACTGATAGAACTACAATACCAAATATATTTATCCTGCCAGGCTTTTTTTTTTTTTTT